TGCCCCAGGCAGCAGGGACGACAGTCACGCCTGTCATTGGGTGTGCAGGTGCCAAGGAGAGGCATGGATGGAGATGAGGTTCTCCGGGGAAGAGAAGGGGGCTCCTGGGATCAGGCCTTGAGGCTGAGACTCGGGGGTGGGTGGGCGGCAGCAGGACGGCCGGGGGCGCGCCTGCTGGGGTGCTGAGTGATGGGCAGAGCGGGCTGCCCAGCCCTGACCGCTGCCGGAGGGTGCCTGCTGAGGGCTGCTGGGGGCGCTGGACAAGCTGCTGAGAGGTGGACCCGGACGGGGTGGGGCCTGTGGGGTCCTCTCTGGGGCAGCGTGAAGGCTCTTCTCTCCCAGGAACAGCGTTTGGAACACTTAAGGCAGCTCTCTGGTCTCCCCCTTCCCTGCCAGTTATTGAGGTGGGACTACGTTATGCCTAGGGCTCACCTTGAGAGGCACATGAATGAGGACCATTGTTTCTCCAGTGGACAGAAAATACCTCCTGGGCCCTGGCTGCAAGCCTGGCATGGCGGGCAGATTCACAGGCACTTGAAACGGACAAGCCTGGAGGTTCCAGCCTTTGTCACCCACGCACAGCAGGCTCCATGGCAGGTGAGTTATGGCCCACCCTCGCGTACCCTCCTCCTGGGAACTGCCCCTGCCACTGGTCACCTCTCATCGCCACGAGAACAGTGGACACGGCTCCACTACACAGGTCAGGAGATGGAAGTCGTCTTCCCACAGGGCCCGTCTCCTCATTGCTCTACCCTGGCCAGGCCTGTTGGGGTGATTAGAGGTGGGGCGACCCCAAGAGGTGGTCCCTGCAGTGGTGGAGCTGTGGGCAGACCCCAGGGTAGAAGAGGGTCCCCAGTAAGTAGCCCGAGGCCTTGGAGAGGACGTGGGGTCCTGGGCAGGACCCCAGAGCGTGCTCTGCTCCCCCCTGACCCCGGTGGTCCATGCTGCCTCCGCCCATGCGCTCAGCTGCCCTGGGTCCGAGGGGACAGGGGTCTTATGGGCTGACGCTGATGCTGTTTGCCCTGAACTTGCTGGAGCCGGCTGTCTGAGCCTGACCCACGAGGACACCCTGACTGCTCAGATTTTAGAGAAGCCGCTTGCTGACACCTTCCTGGGAGCCTCCCCCTTGCTGGAATGTTACTGTCACAGGACATGCCCACCCCAGCCAGGCTGCCTCCCCGCCTCCCCCTCACTCCTGCCGGGTGCTGGCCTCCGGCTCTGGGGCTTTGCTTGGGTGGTGGGGTCAGGAGGCAGGGCAGTGCAGACAGCGCGGGGCAGGTCTGGCTCGGGCCCGGTTCCTGCCTGGGCAGCTGCTCAGCCCTCCTGGAGCCTCGGTGTCCTCATCTGCGAATGAGAGTCATTCCCTCGGGCTTCAGGGTGGGAGGCGCGGGGAGCGTATGGCCCAGAACAGAGGTCAATGCAGTTTCTTCCTCCTTTTCTCAGTGATGAAGAATTGTCTCGTCAAGGGACTTTCCTGGAGGGCTTCCTGGTTGGGACGTCACCTTTTGGTGTGGGGTGTGTGTGTATGTGTGTGTGTGTGTGTGTATGCGGGTTTGATCCCTATTTGGGGAGCTAGGATGCCAAACACCTCATAGCCAAGAAACCAGGGTATAGTGCAGATGCAACACTGAATATAACACATTCAATGAAGACTTAAAAAATGGTCCACGTTAAAAAAAAATTGTTTTAAAAAATTAGCTAGTCGAGAAATGCAATTTGAAAAGAAAAAAAAAAAAGAGACCTGGGGTCACCTCTCCCACTTTTTCTAAACTGCAAAGAATGCAGCAGCTCTGTGTGGTGATGAGAAATTATGGGGACGCTTCTTTTTCTATCCTAGAACACATCAAGATGGACTTTATTATTCCAATGAATGCCCTACAACTCTGTTAAAAATCAGAGACAGTTAGGTCCATTTAAATCTTAAATGTACCTTATGCCTAATTTAGAACAAAGCTCAGAGTAAGCTGATGATCGCAAAAGTGCTAAGAGATCCTCCACCCTTTTAAGCCACACAGAGAAGGTGGCCCCCTTAGGCAGAAGGGTAAAGCCTCTTGGTGACCGAGAGAGGGCAGGGCTCTGCAACCCTTAGCTCCCAAGATCCAGAGGGCAGAGACGGTCCAGCCCTCCGAGACAAAAGATGAAGGGTGGGTGCGTGGGTGGGGAACAGGGGCATGCAGGAGAGAAGTGAGGGGGGGGGGCGGCTGGTATCTGCGTGACTCCAGCAAGCACGGAGGAGCAGGCTCAGGGCCTGTTAGACAAGCCTCCGGCTGGAGAGCTCCAAGCTCGGGCCAAGCTGCTGAGCCCCCAGTCCCTCATCTGACAGTGGGGTGCTGCTTAGTTACTGGGGTGGCGAGGATGCCTCAGTGCACAGAAGCTCCTGGGAACAAACTAGTCCACTGACTCAGTCACCTCATAGGACAGAAACCAGGAAACCATCATGACGCTAACTTCTAGATAGACCTACACCCAGGTGAGTGTGACGGTGGTCCCAGAGTCCAGACATACGAACATGTGAGACCCGGTGGAACATGAACACTCAGAGCATAGCAGTCTCCATACCCACCCATCCAGCATGCATCATCAACCTGTCATCCACCCATCCATCCCATCATCCACCCATCCATCCCATCATCCACCCAACCATCCATCCCATCATCCACCCATCCCATCATCCACCCATCCATCCATCCCATCATTCACCCATCCATCCCATTCATCCAACCATCAATTCCATCATCCGCCCAGCACCCATCCAGCATCCTTCATCCAGTCTTCACAGAGCACCTACTTGAGAAGCATTATAAATAAGACTTGACAAAAATGGAAAATTATCGATGACTGTGGAAGCTGGGTGATCAGCACACAGGGTCATTAAACTACTTGCCCACTTTTGTGTCTTCTGTTTGAAGATTCTCACATACGAGTTGAATAGAGATAAGGTGCAGAGTGCAGGAACTGGGGATGCAGTCTCAGGCCCTGCCCACCACATGCAAGTAGTCGGTGCCTGAACTCTTTCCAAGCTCTGGGGGCCGGTGACATTAGGCCCACAGAGCCCCAGCGCCTCCAGCATCAGCTCCAAGCAGCACCCAGAAGGAGGACCCTGCTTCCACCAAGACACAGAAAAAGCACAGTTTCTAGCTGTGACCGAGATCGTATTATGTGTTACCAGGCCCCAAGCGGCAAATTGAAGATCAGAGAAGGCCCAGGTGCCAGAAGCCATTATGAGAGATCCCACCCATGACGAGGTCATGAGAAGACCTGACACGCGAGGCTGTTCAGGACACGAGGGACCCTCCAGGTTGGCCCTGGCCTCTACCCCACCCTGTATCCTCCCCCTTCTCTGCTGTTGTTCTTGTTTGCCCTGCTGCAGATTCTTGTGCTGCCTGCCGAGAGTTTTCCTGCTCCTCTTCCAATGAATAAAGACCAACTTTATAAATCTCCTGGACGCTGGTGCCCTATGAAGGGGCTAGGGATGAAGGAAATGCTTCATTCAAACCCTTCTGCTGGCATTCGGGCTTATTTGATAAATGTGTGCTCCCACTGCAAAAAATGCTCATGATTGTTCTAAACATCCTAAGCACAGTACGCTAACAAAAGAAACCATTAAGCATAGGTCCCTCCACAGGGTGAGAAAAGCTCCACAAATAGCCACAAATGTGTCTAATAAAAAATACTTTAGATAGAGATTAGCTGGTGACTTCTTGCAGGTAATTAACTTTTAGACTAAGAGCCTAAAAGTTTTGTGCCATATCTGCTGTTTTTGCAATCCTTTGCATTTCCGTTCTGTAAAAATGTAATCCTATCTAGTTCCCATGGAGATGACGCCTAATAGAAAGAAAATAGATTAACCACAAAAAAGACAAGGTCGGCTACTGAAGTTGCTTAAAGTTACACCAGGTGCAAGCCATAAAATGTCAACAGGCCTGAAGGCCAAAAGATATTATACATAGAGATTAACCATAAAAAAGGCCCTAATAGGAACAGGGCCCTTTGGGGGGTGAAGAAGCCCTATTAGAGAACACAAAAAAATTATTTTAAAAGCGGTTATTGGATCAGCGTTTGATTGCTGTTAATGTGCTGAGGTTGTGCAGTGGAAACTATTGTTAATATAGTTAAAGATCTAGAAAAATAAGAGTTTAGCCCTAGTGTAAAAACAATAATTGTTCATTTTAGCCAGGAGTGCTAAACAGAGGCTGCCTCACCAGAGCCGCAGTCTTTGTGCGCTAAACTTTTTAAATAAATTTTGCTAAAAACTTCTGCAAAAAGACTGACTTTTGTGTTAACAGGATTGTATTTCTACTATGCTGCAACCTGCTGTACCATGAAACTGCCACTTCTCTGTTTTCTGCTAACCTCAAGGCCAAAGGATAATGTACAAAACATCTATGGAAAAGACGCTCATAAACAAAAAGTCTACAGAGCACACCTGGTTTCGTGAAGGACAAGCTGATGTTAAATTAACTCTCTGTGCTTATCTTCCCCTTGGAAATGTACTAACTTAGGGTATAAAAGCTACGGTGAAAAATAAAGCGCAGGCCAGACTGCTGCACACTCTGGTCTGGTCTCTCTCTCTCTCTCACTCGCCGACGCCATTCATCCTGAGGGTACCCCTGGATCCTGCGGGGGCAAGGACCCCGGCACCCAGGGATGGGTCTGGAAGGTGAAAGGCAAGGAAAGTGGGGGACCTGCCGTCTGATTCAACACCACATGCCCTGCGCCCCCCACAACCCCCTTCCCCTCTGTCCTCAGGCCACCCACTCCAGGCTGGCTTCTCAGAGACCAGATGTGCCTGTGGGCTGGCTGGGGACCAAGGGTACAGCTAATGAGGTCTCGGACCTCAAAGACGACCACCACGCAACCGTGAATGACCAAGCGTTTAATGCCTCACAGAACAAACCTGTTCTCTGCTATGAAGTTCATTATGAACTTGAATCACTGTGACTGCTGAGTCTATAATCCAAGTTAAATCCCAGGCGACGACAACTCTCGTGTCCAATAATTTAACCGAGTGAAGTTTGTGCAGATTCACAAACCTTTTCATACTGTTGATCTCCAAAATTTAACGAGTGAGACGCAGCAAGCCCTCCACCCCACGCCATCAGTGGAGAGAATCGGCTAAGGCGACCACGGCTGGACCATGTTCTGAGCTCGGAGGAACATCCATTGTCACCTGGGCCATCTTCCTGGGGCCTGGCGCCCACCCAGCCCTGGGACGAGAGCTGGCTTCTGAAGGCCGTGGCCAGAGCAGCGGGCCAGGCCAAGGCCATGACGGAATCCCCGGGTGAGGGCCCCGGGTCCCCACCCAGCTTGCAGCCACCGATACCCACCACCACCCAGTGGTAACGCGCCTTTCCTCTTGCCATGGAAGCTGGGGCCCGGCCGAGGCCATGACGGAATCCCTGGGTGAGCCCGCCACAGGCCAGAGACCACAGTTCAACTCCGCTTTACTCTAGAAGTGCCTCTGGGTGCACAACCCCACGGCCCCACCCCTGGGGAAATCGTTTCCCAGGCCAGCGGAAGTCCGTCGGCTTTGGCGAGCGTGACGCTAGAGTTTGCTGTTCTTCTGGAACTGGGCCACCAGGCTGAGGACCTGCTCGGAGGCCTTGATGCTCTTGCAGCCGAGGTAGGCGGTGCTGTTGGCGGCCGTGTCCTCCAGGAAGTAGCGGTAGTTGACCATGAGGCCGCAGGCGCCCGTGACGCCCTTGAGGCTGACGTCGGCCAGCCAGTTGATGCGCCAGAGCACGGCGCCATTCTGCAGGTGGAAGTGGGCCACGGGGTTGAGCGCGTAGCCGCGGTGCTTCTCCCCGTACAGGTACCAGGCGCACAGCCGCATCAGCGGGGCCTGCAGCGCCCGCGCCAGCCGCTCCGACTGCGCCCACTCGCCGCTGCTCAGCAGCGTCTGCAGCGTCTCGAGCGCGGGGCCGCCCGTGAGCTCGGCGATCTCCTGACTCTCGCAGTCCGTCAGCAGTCCGCTCCGCCCATGCTCCTTGGCTTTGGACTTGAGCAGCCCCAGGAGCCACTTGGTGAAGCCGGGGATGGGAGACAGGCTGGAGAAGGCGCCCAGCTGGGGGAGCTCCTTCTGCAGGCGCGGGGGCGGGGGAGGAGGGGAGAGAACACACGCATGGTTCAGGGCTGAGGCGCGGACACGGACACCCCCGCCTTTACGGCCTAGTGGCGCGAGCCTCCGGGTGCTGCCGCCTGGCGGACGCGGCACCGCGTGCGGCGGGTTACTCTTCCTTCTCTCCAGGGACAGTTAGCAAGAATCTGACGTGCGGGGGTCCTGGAGGCGTCCTGCGGCCCCAGGACAAGCGTCCCCTTGTGCTCTGTCCGCCTGCACTGCCATGCGAGCAGGCAAGCTGGAGGACTCGCCTGAAGTCGGAGCGGTGGGTCGCTGCAGAGTCGGGGGCCTGACTACAGCCCACCAGGCCCCTCTCAGGGACTCTGCTGAGGCCGCATGATCGGGTTTGGGGCTCGGCACACAGTGACTGTCTGTTGAATGAATAACTGATCACCCAACAGTACCACGGCGGGGGCGGACGATAGGAGGGACGGGGCGGGGGCAGTGGGCAAGGGTAGATCTCCACACCAGATAACATGATTCAATCACTGCTATTCAAATCAACTTCGACCTCAATGCTCGTTTCACAGAAGCCAGAATTTTCCAGCTGAAAATGTAACATTCGCTCACTACAGAAGAAGCATCTTAAAGTTCAGGACAGCCAAGGAGGCAGCACGCTCCAGTAAACACCACGCTCCGGGCGGTGTTTACAAGGCTGAGACAGCTCTCACATCCTGCTGTCTGGGTTTACATGATGAGGACTTACAGTCCTCATCGCCACGCAGGATTCAGAACCACAACTTTAACAACAGGAGGCTGTCATGACGACCCCCGGACACTCCTAACCCTGCTCCTCCCATCTTCCATAACCCCCCGCAGGCCTCTGTGGGGATAGGGCTGTGCTTCCCTCCAGACTCCCCGGACTCTCCCGCTCCCGGCCCCAGCCCAGACGGGGAGCGGACGTCAGCGGGCAGCGCGGCTCCTGGGCTGCGGCACTTGGGAGCAGAGCTCGTGGGTGGGTCCCAGGACACGCCTCCTCCTCCGACTGCATTCCAGAGCCTCCTGCTCTCTCCCCCAACCCCGCCCCGTCATCAACACCTTCAGCAAAGAGGCAGAAGGGCCTCAAGAGTTAACCAGCACAGGTGGCTCTCATCACCTCTGGGGAGAGCGCGGCAGGGCCTGAGTCTAGAAGCTGATGCCCAGCTGCATCCCGAGAGCTCAGACGAGTCTACCACGAGGCGTGCAAGCGTCTGAATTCCACCCTGGCCCGTCACTCTCTGAGGAGGGGCTGTGGAGGCCACCGCGTGCGTGGAGACCACAGGAGCAGACAGCACCGCTCTCAGAGCCCGTTCTTAACCATCTAATTATTTTACCTTAAAATGAGGCTCTATGCATTACAGTTCGCCCCAGCCCCTCGTGAGATGGTTTTAAACAGCCCAGACCCACAGTGGCCCGGGCGTTTCTGTGTGTTTTCAGGGCAACCCAGAGAACCAAGTGTCACTGCACGTACCCTCCAGCCGCCTGGTCTGAGCTCGGGGCTCCCTGCGGACACGAGTGGGTGAGGGTGGCTGGGGGTGCTTGTCAGGGTCAGGATTGGGCCATGGGGACCAAGGGGGCCATGGGAGCCCGCTGGTGACCGCGTGCCAGGCAGAAGCGGCCCCACCAGCCTGGGTGCAGGGCCCCCCGCAGATGCCGCTGCCCTGAGGACACATCTGAGCCTCCTGGTCCATGAGAAGCTAGTTTCGGGGGCCTTTTTCTCAGCATGCCTTCTACCTCCTGGGGAGTCTCGGGGCTCCTAGGAGCTGCCAAGGGGCACCTGGTACTTTTCCACCCCTCCTGCTCACTCTGGCCTGGAGAGCCACCTTGTCCCTGAGATGAAGGCAGGACTGCTCGGCCACCCCGAGGCGGGGCGCACAGGGAGGGACCAGCGCCAGCCTCGCTCACCTGCAGCTCCTTCACCACCCGCTTGATGAGGAAGGCGCCCAGCTCCACGCCCTGCAGCCCCTGCTGGGTCAGGCTCAGCGAGTAGAAGACGGCCGTGGTGATCTTGTTCCGCTCCTCTGTCTCCGACGGGGGGCACTCCTTCACTATGATCGTCTGGAAAACACAAAGGACCCCGGGGTCGAGACAGTCTCCCCCGAACCCCCAGACCAGCTCCGCAGGCTATGCGTCCTGAGATCTCTCTGGAGGCGGTGGTCTCACAGTCTCCCTGGCTGTGTGCCCAGCGCTGTATCATTTCTATCACTTCGGATTCTCATGCAAACTGAGTGGATCATGCCTCCTGGCCCTTAGGCAGGCCTCTCTGGGGCCTCCATGCAAAACGCTCCCCTCGAGCCCTGGAGAAGCACTCTGGCCCTCCTCCGGGGCCCCAGGGCCCCAGCCTGGGTCACCTCCCTGCCCTGAACCGAGGGCGCACAGGTACCTGGATGCTGCTGGAGATCTCGCTGGTCAGGGCCACGTGCAGGACGATCAGGGGCTCCCCTGGCGTCGAGCAGTGGGAGAAGAAGTAGCACCTCCGGTAGGGCCCCACGCGCCGCTTCAAGTCCATCCAGGTTTTCACGGGGTGCACGGCCTCAGCCCTGGCGGGGATGAGAAAAAGAAGCTAGATGAACGTCACGGTTCACGGGTCAGACAGCCGGGGCAGAGCCCTACTTGGCTATTCACGCAGGTCAAAGAACTCTGTAAATACAGCTTCAAGGGACTCGGGAGGAAAATCAGAGAAGGTTGCTTTAGCGTGAAGCGGCGCTGACTAAGAGGAGCCAGAGTTGGTGACTGTCTTACACACAGAACTGTGCTCTCGGCCCTGCTCTTAAAGACTAGCTCGCCAGGCCCTGGTGGGGCGGCTGTGCAGCAGACTTTAACGCAGGGGCCTGACCAGATGCCTGTCGCTGGGGTCCTGCGTCTGCTCTGAATCTCCCAGTCTGAAGTCATCGCTGCCTGTGCACACGCATCCCCCGGCGGGTTCCACCAGTCCAGCCACCTCAGCCACTGCTGCTCTGCTTCAACACCAGAGCCGACAGCAGCACTGTCTGCCTTTCACTGTGTCCAGGGAAGGCTGGATGCGAGCACTGTATTGTGAGTCTGGAGATTCTTATCCAAGGGAGACATTTTAACAGCTGGTTGTGACGATGCTGTCTGGGTGACTAATGCCAACTCTTGGTCTGTGAGTCTGGGCAGCTCTGATCATGGGGGTCTTTGGGCAGAAGTGGGCTTGAGTGCTTTCTTCCTTTTAGACATTTATTATTATCATTTACTTTTTGGCTATGCCGCATGGCATGCAGGATCTTAGCTCCCTGATCAGGGACTAAACCTGTGCCCCCTGCAGTGGAAGCGCAGAGTCTCAACCACTGGACTGCCAAGGAAGACCCCGAGGGCTTTAAATATGAGCATGTAGCAGAGATCCCACATGCGGGTTCACTGGCAGAAGGACCAGTTTCTACCTGCGCCCTTTTCTCCTCCGTGGCCTTGGCATCATCTGCTAGGACAGCCACCCCTGGGAATACCGTGTTTGCGTTTTATCAGGCTTGGGAGAAAACGTACACGGGTGGGGAGGCGGGGAATGGAGGCTGGCTTTCAGCTGAAATCTAAGCAGAGCGGCAGCGTCACACTCACTCGCTGATTCTCTGGAGCACTTCGCATGGTGAATGCCAGGTGACCCGCTCCAGGTTCAGGAACCCCGAGGAAAACCACTCCGAGAGCATGTTTTTCAGCACCCCGTTCATTTCCTGAAACGGAGAGGAGAGAACGCTGACCTTCCGTGGGGAAGACGTCCAGCCCATCCCCGAGGCGCAGCTGGGAATCAGACATGAAGCCAGGCAGGGGTGTGTGCTGAGACAGCCGACTGGAGTGTTCAAGTCAAACCAAGTTCCCCAAGTCAGATAACGTGTTCTGGTTCATTCGCTACCATGGACACAGCTACGCATGTGAGTTAGGCTGATGCTGAATGGTGTGTTCTGGATCGAATGTGGACACCCTCTCGGGACCAAGACATCCATCCATCCTTTCTTAAGAGAAATAAGTACTGGCTCCCGGCCCCACATTTTGACAACTCTAAGGTGTGTGCGTGTTTTCCTGTTTTTAATGTCTCGGAACTCAGGACCCATCTCTAGAGTGACGGTGGGTCATGGCTGAATCGGCAGCATTCTTTCCTTTCCTGAGTGGCCGTAGAATAATAGTACATCTGGCAATCTGTGCATTTAAATTTGACATTATTCTAATTTCACTTTTTTACAGTGAATCTGCTTCCAAAAATGATCTGAGTCAACTTTACCATCAGAGATACATTCACACTGAAACTTTGAGCAACAGAATGAGAGGTGAATGAGGTGAGGACGCGGTTTAGTCTGGTGACCTCAGGCCAAATAAGTGGTGAGCTTTTAGTTTACAGCCAGAGAGGAGGGGACACCCAAAGCAAGAGACACAGCTGTCGTTCCTTAGTAGTTGTGTTCCCTTCTTCCAAACCAACAGAAGCCTCAGCTTTAGCCAGGCACAAGGATGTTCAGAACAAAGCCTGCCCGGCAGCTGAGGGTAGCCACATCACTGAGTTCTGGCTACTCAGATGTAAGTGGAGGTGTTCTGTAGCAGCTTTTGGGAACCTTGAAAGATGGCAGGAGCAGCCCTTTGCCTATCTTTTTCTTTGTCCTTCCCACTGCAGGTTGGAAGGTGATGTGATGGCTAGAGCTACAGCAGCCATCTGGGGCCATGAGGTAACCTTGAGGATGAAAGTTTTTCAGGGAAGAGCAACAAACAGAAGTCTGGGTCAACTGAGGGCGCCACAGAGCAGGAAGCTTCTCTTATTCAAACTACCATTGTTCTTGAGCCTCTGTTACTTAAGATGAGCTATACTGACAGATACACGGAATATTATTACTGAATAACAGCAAACATCTCCATTTGTCTGGTACAGAACTGACCTTATGAATCCCTGTATAGGAATCACAAAGACCATGATGGATAACACCCATAAAACTGGACACAAGCTATGAAACTGTTATAGGGCCATGTCACATTCTAATCCCTGGTAGAAGCTCAAAGGACTCAGAACCTTGTCACTAGAGGATACGGTGCAGGCTGCGGTTGGTGGCTCAGAAAGGGTTTCAGAATGAAGTGAGCTCCATCTTTAAACACTGAAGGCCTGGGGCACAGAAGAGTCCCCATGGGGGAGAGAAGTGGGGGGTAAGTCATCTAGGACCAACTAGAGGAGGCAAAGTCAGACTCCATGTAAAGAAGAACATTCGTGTAGTTGGGGCTGCCCATAGAGCTCCTCCTGGCAGAGAGAGGCCCTCCCCTTGGGGATGAGATGGGCACAGGGTGGGCAAGAACATGGCAGAGATGTTTTGATTAGAGGGCCATATGACCTCTAATTCCTCTTCACTCTTTACCCCACGGTCTAGTCGCCTTCACTGGGCTCTCAGCTCCATAAGTGTGGTCATTTCTGATTCATTCCTCTGGTTCTCAAAGCATCTGTGGGGTCTCCCACGTGGAAGATGATCAACGGATTGATGGCAAATGAAAAAGAGAAGACACCCTGGAGAACAGCGACTACAAGTAGCAGGGAGAGGAAGGGATGGCTTCCTTCAACACCGACAGCTTCTTGTAAAACTCTCTTTCCTGCATGGACTACAGTGGTTCAGTCTTCCTGGGGACCTTGCACACTCTAGAGTGTGCACTAAACACTGGCACCCTCTCCCCAGAGAAACGCAAACACATTAGTAAAACTCTGTGTATAATTTCCTGGGTTTCATGGACCCCTTTGAAACTCATCTATGTATCATCCCCAGGGGTCCCTGGATCCCAGGCTGGGGACCTCTGCTCTGAAAGGTCAGGAATGGACCAGTCGAGTTCCATGTGGGATGTAATGGCATCTCTGTGACACATGTAATAGGAAAAAGCTGGGGAAAAAATCTAGCTTCAGTGTTAGTTCAGTTTAATTATGAAAGGGATGGTCTGGCTGATGGAAGCGGCCTCCTCTCTAAGTCCCTTCGTTCTATTCTGGGCTACTGACAGCTATAAATGTGACACTGGACACGAGATCTGGGAATCTAGGTTAAAGGTGACCCATCTCCCCTGCTCAGGGCCATCAGGACCGCAGCTGTTGGGCTGAAATCAGGCCCAACCGAGGGCAGCAAGGTTGCTGGATCTCTGACCGTGGAAGGAGAGGGAACGGGTATGTGTATCAGCCTCAGGAATTCAGAAATTGTTCATCAGCGATCCAGCACTTGAACATGCCAACTGCTGGCACAACATTCTTATGTACAAATAAGTTCATCTCTTAGTCTGGCTGACAGAACTTAGTAGAACCATGAGGACCACCAGGTTAGCTTACAAACAGGACAAGCCACCAGGGGAAGTTTATGACACAGTGTCTTGGGCTGGGCGCTGCGGTGGTGCTGTGGGGTCCTGGCTGGAGAAGAGCTTGGTCCCTTCTCCTATGTTCTGCCTGGACTTCTATTAAGGTTTCCACAGCCTTCACCAAAATTTCTGTGTTCAAATTTCCCATCATGTCCCAAATGCCAGCCTGCCTCTGCACATCGCTGATGGTGCCTACACTCTGCTAGAATGGGAGCTCCCTTGGCTTCACTGGGGGTTTTATCTGTAAGAAACTTAACTCTTCAACCTAAAAGGGCTTTTGGAAAGAACTCTGCAGAAAAGCAAACAGCCTGTAGCCAGGACACACAGGAAGCACACACCACCCCGCAAAACACACACGCTGTGCACCCTGCTCGGCATGCGGCGGATGCACGACTGCAAGTTCACAGGGTGTCTCCTTCCGGAGGAGAGCGACCGGCAGGTGGACTGGATTCACGCCTCAGAGGCCAAAGCCCTCCTCAGGAAAGAACATGCAGATTCGGGCTTCTGGTCACACATCCAGGCGTCAGAATTAGCCTCTCAACTCACTTGCAACTTCAACAGAGAAAAGCTTTTTTTTAACAAAAAGAACATTTGATCTTGTAAGCCAAGGCACTGCTTCTTTTCCTGGTATAATTAAGCTGCTTTGTGGGTTTGATATCACCCCCACCATCCCACCTCCACCACCAACAATGGATGACTGATTATTATTCTATTTCCTATGGTTAAAATTGGTTAGGGGGGTGGGGTGGGGGGAGGTCCTGTGATCAGAGAATTAAAGGACATTGACAAGTCCCTTTCCTACAGAATCCTTAATTATGAAAACAACTAAAATGCCTTTCTTGGAATAACTCCATTAAGATCAGTTCACTTACTACCATCCAAGGAGTTCTACAAATCAGCATCAGACAGACAGACCACAGGAGTGGGGACTTGGGATGGATCAAGAAGTCCCAGGCTGACCTTCTGAGACACTCAGGCTCCTCCCGACCTTCTAAGTAACAGGTGGCAAAGTCCAGCTTCTCCACAGTGGATCAGCTATCTTGAGAACCACAGCACAAACGTTTCACCTTTGCCGGGTTGTACAAACTTTCCCCACAACACTTGCATGTTCTCAGCAGAGACTTGACACTGACTCTGAATTTCCTATTGAGAAGAATTAAGAAACCTTATCTGATTTAAATTATCTGACAAAGGTTCGTATAGTCAAAGCCATGTTTTTTCCAGTAGTCATGTATGGATGTGAGAGCTGGATCATAAAGAAGGCTGAGCACCGAAGAAGTGATGTTTTCATATTGTGGTGCTGGAGAAGACCCTAGAGAGTCCCTTGGACATCAAGGGGATCAAACCAGTCAATCTTAAAGTAAGTCAACCCTGAATCCTCACTGGAATGACTGATTGCTGAAGCTGACGCTCCAGTACTTTGGCCACGTGATGTGAAGAGCCGACTCACTGGAAAAGACCCGGATGCTGGGAAAGATTGAAGGTGGGAGGAGAAGGGCACGACAGAGGATGAGATGGTTGGATGGCATCACTGACTCAATGGACAGGCGTTTGAGCAAGCCCTGGTAGGTGGTGAAGGACAGGAAAGCCTGGCGTGCTGCAGGCGACGGAGTTGCAAAGAGCTGGACACGACTGAGCGAGTGAACAAGAACGAGGTAGGGGACCCACGCCCGCCTAGACTCCTGCCTCAGGCTTCACGCTGGGCTCCACAGGGATGGAAGTGTCAGGCTTCCAGAATCTTCCTCTATTTCCAATTATCAGGGCCCTCAGTCACAGACCAACATCTTGACAAACTGCCCTCACTGGTAACCATGTTTTCAGCTGAGCTCCACAGTACCTCTCGGGGCGTTTCTTAGAAGAGAAGCCCAAGGTCAGCCTGACCACTGGCAGAGTCTCTCACCCTGGCCTGATGGCCCAGGATGGTGAAGGGATTGGGCAGCGCTCACCTAAAATCATGCTTCTAACCACAGGGCGGCAACAGGAACCAGCCCATCCTCCGCGACCTGCTGTGCCTTCTGTGGTACCCACTATTCCGTGTGAGACACGCAATGAGCCTCCTTTTGGGCTTACCACTTGCCGGCGGTTATTCTAAAAATGCCTCTGTGCTCACAAGATCCAGTAAATGAGAAGCTCTGAGAACCAGCAGACTGGGCCCACTGGAGGGCAATGACCATGGCTGAGCCCCAAGCAGCTCTTGTTCACCTGACATGACCTGGCAGCTCCAGAAGTCGGCAGGGCCCAGGGGATGCAGGGCTCCCGCGCGAAAGCTTCGAGGGCCAAACCTCTGCTGGTTGCCTACAATGAATTCCTAAAAGCCAAAAGCTCTAGCTGCGCTGCCTCTTAAATGTGGCTGCAAAATCCCAAATCAAACAGAAGAGATGGGATCAAGATGGACCACACACACTAGGTGATTCTGGGGACAAATTACCACATCAGGTCCCAGTGACAACTTCTATGGATTAAAATACCTGTCAGGGAGGAAGGAAACCAATTCAGTAACTAACATCTCACAGCATCGGAGAACGGAGAACCGGAGGCAACATCAGGAACTGCCAGGTGAGGGCAGCCCCGACATTGGGCAGGATGACTCTCGGCCGCAAAGAAACTTTCCAAGGTCCCTGGGGCTTGGTTCCAGGCTTGGACCCTTGAGTGGAGCAGTCCGACCTCAGGACAAATGGGGGCGGTGAGCTGCCAGCTTCGCTGGACAGTGGGGCACCCAGGAGTCCAACTCATACTTCATCACTTAGCTATACAGGACGAGGTTCCTAGTTTCCTAGGAGCTGATCATCTAGTTGCAGGGTAACAATACATTCAAAGGCTAGATTCTGTGGTTAACGCGTCTGAGTGGTACAGACAGTTACACACCTATGAAGCTCAGAATGGGGTGAGGCCACCCTGAGCTGGACAGGCTGGAAAAGTCCAAAAAATGAGCTGGGGCTGGAGGCGGCTGCTACTCTTGACAGGAATCACGAGGGATGTGGGTTCAGGAACTTTCCATCCAGGAGCCGGCCTGGCTGGAGAGGAGGGTCTGTAGAGGGGAACGAGAAATGCTGGGGGAGCTGGGATGTGCAGGGTGGCTGGTGGGCAGCAAAAATGCCAAAGGACAGACACCAAGGGCCAGCCTTCCGGCCACGCGGAGTTTGATGATTTTTTTTTTTTTTCAACAAGAGTAGAGACTGACCTGAGGCTTCAGAAAAAGGTGGGCACCAAGCTGGGTGTGAGGGAAGCTTGCACAGAGTCTTGGAAAGATAAACACACTCACAACTAGAGAACATTAAACTCCTGCCTCAGGGAAACCAAATAAAACAAAGCCATTAATCGACTGGGTTGTTTCACCTTCCCTTTGGTTTTAGAGAAGGCGGCACATGCTAAGAGAATAAGCCAGCTTCGATCTAGTTAGGTTGTCAACTAAGAGAGTCGGTGTGCCATGATGGAGCACACATCTGGAGTCACGGCCGCAGGGCTTGGGCAGAGGCGCTCTTACCAGCTCTGTGCTCTGGGGGCTGCATGGGACAAGCTTCAGTCACCTCATCTGTCAGCCAGTCCCCAGGTCTTGCTGAGGATGAAATGAGCTAGTGAATGAAAGGCACTCACACCTACTGTGTCTGCAGTTAACCCTTCATATGCTCGAAGGGAAGCTCTCGGACCACTCCACCTTGGAGCCTGAAGCATGCCTGGCATGATACAGCCAGCCAACAGATGGCTGAATGGATGGGCAGGGAGTTTAACTGTGGGTCAGGTGACAGACATCCCACCTAATTCTCAAGTCTCCTATGCAATGAGAATTTAGTTTCAGAAGGCTTTCAGGAGCATTGGTCTCTGCCTCAAAGGGAAAAAAAAAAGTCTGCTTGGATTGCAGACTAAACCCAAGACTCTCTTGGGAGGAATGGGGATGCTTGCAGAGCGTGTAACGCAAGGTCTCAGCTTTTCAGATGGGGATTTAGTTGGGAACACTCAATTTAACACACTCAGAATCCAAGACTGACTTGGTGCTAATGCAATAAACCACCAAGGTTCTCAGCTTGGCCCTAGGTAACTGTAGATCAGCCAGCCACTAAGAGCAGTCAAATCATAGCCTCTATTATCACACCGAGATTAATCCTAACTACACCCAGTTTTTATGCATCTAAGGCTAAGAAAGTTTCTGATAAACACAAGAACTCATATAGCATGATGGGGATATAAACTGTGGCATACAGAACCCAGGAAATTTGGATTTGGATGGTGGTCAGACATTCTTATTTGCTCTGAGTTCTTGGTCAAGTCATGTGAACTCATCTGACCTGTTTCCTTTACTGTAAAAGGTGACATATCACTTCCTCAAGAGTAAGGATATGAACATGAAAACCATCATGCTAGGTGTTAGGAGTTGTTAAAGGAATCAGGACATAATCCTTTTAAGTGTTCACTTCTTTCCTAAGCCAACTGGACTTGATAAAGTTTTGAATGTCAGAACTTTCTATAACGTTTACAGCATTTTTGGTTTGCTATAGAGCAAATTAGTGGTCCATACTTGATATCAATGGAATACAAGGACTATATTCAACTATCAGTCATCTTTCAAGTCATCATTATTTAAATCTTAAATTCTTTGTTCACATCTAAAGTGGGCTCACTTTGCTAAGTGCCTGATTACCCAAGGAGACAACTTAGAATCCTATTTTAGGGCTGAACCTGGGCTGGTGAAACGCCCTGCCCTGGGCGAGTGGCAGAGACGATAGAGGGCACCCGGACTCCTGGACGGTGGTGACCTCGAGTTCTAGTCACCTCTGTACGTTTCACAGGGTTTTTCAGGATAATGGCTCACACAGCTGGTGCTACAAGTAAGTTACCTTTTTGTTGACCCCATCCAGGTTTTCAGAAAGTTACCCGATGCTCCGTTTGGTACTCATTCAAGTGTACCGCACAGACGAAATCTCTCAGGTAAGATAATAAAACAGAGAACTTTATAGAGCATGCTCATCAGGAACGAGGCGTGACAGTCACCTTGAAAGTAAGCGGATGCCAAGTTTCTACCAAGACTGGAGCGAGCTGAGGCTTGAGTGAGGCATTTTCGGAAAGCGTGGGAAGGAAGGGGGCAGGGTTCAGGGGCTGTGACTCTCGGAGAAGTGGACATGGCTCCAAGGCAAGCGAAGGTGGAGTGTCTGGGGCTTGAGGGGCGAGGGCCGCCAAGGGTCAGCAGACCTGGGCACTAGGCGGGGGCGCGGTCCGGGGACTGCCCGGGCGGAGCCTTACCCGGACGTGCGGCCCCTCCACAAGCTTGAGGGCTTGCGCCTCGAGCAAGTCGGCCCGCAGCCGCACCAGGAAGCGCACGCCGCCCTCCATCTTGCTGATGTGGTGGAAGAGGCTGCGGTAGCGCGGCACTAGCGCGTAGCGGAGCCGGTCCTCGGCCTGCAGCAGCACGGCTGGCTCCCGCGGCTGCTGGCGCAGCTGGAGCACGCCGGCGCTCTGCTCGGCCACCTGGCTGTGGTCCACGCCGAAGCCGCGCGCCAGGCGGCCCAGCAGCTCGGCGCGCTCGGCCGTCTCAGCCAGGCCGCCGTAGAAGCTCACGAAGTCCGCACACTGGTTCTCCGCCCGCGCCGGCGTCTTCTCGCGCAGCTCATAGGCCGGCATCGCGGGCACGGCGCGGTGCAGCAGCTCGTCCATGGCCTGCTCCAGGGCGCCGGCCGCCGCCGGCCGCCCGCAGGACAGCCGGGGTCCTGGCGGCTGCGGCTGCCGCGGGGGTAGCCGCAGCCGGAGGAGGCGCCCGGCACACAGGCTTGGCCTGAGGACTCGCATGGTGCGCGGCGACAGCTGCCAGGGGAACGCCGCCGCCGCCGCTGCCGCCGCCGCGCTTCCGGCTTCCGGCGCGCGCGCCCGCCCCATTGGCCGAGACTGAGGGACGGCCTGGGCGGCGACCAATCGGGGGTGGGAGGGGCGGAGCGATGGGGACTGGGTGGGGCGACGGGGGCGGGGCGGAGCGCGGCGCCAGGCCAAGTGCAGCCAAAGGTAACCCGGACGGCCGAGCGGCGGCGGGGCGGCTCGGGTTGGTGAGTTCAGGGGCGGGGCGGCCCCTGCCCTGTCACCTGTTCTCCCAAAGTCACCTCCTCTGCCCTCCTCTCCTCCAGGGCCGAGCTCTCCAGCCCTAAGAAACATGATAGTCACCCAGCGGACGTGTTACACTCCCAAATTCCTGGCTAGTCTCCAGAGATTCTCGGGGTGTCTGGGGCAGGGGCGCAGGCATCTGCGTGACCCCGAAGTACCCTAGTGGTCGTTTCTGGCAAGGTAGATCGCCTCTGTCTCGACCCCTGCCTGGCGCTCTCGCTTGCACAGATGGCCCCCAGAGCTGCAGGCCTTCGTTCTCCTGAGCTCCGGACCCAGGCTTCCAGCTGCCTGCTGGAGCGCTTTCTCACCGATGCGGCAAACGGGGCTCTCCTAAGCGGCTCGTGGCCCACCCTGTCCCCCTACCCTTGGCCCTCATTCATTCATTCCCTCATTCAACAGAGTGTTTCCTGCACTAGACACAGAGATAAAACAGTGAACGACAGATCTGATCGTGCCCCCATGGGGTTTACGTTCTAACAAAGGAAAACAGACCACGGCATAACTGCTGGTTGTGGTAAGTGCTATAAGGGAAATAAACTGTGTGGAGTGATATAACTGGGCCGGCGTGGACTTCCCCTCACCCTGTGGACAGGGTCATCAAGGAAGGCCTCTTCCCCACAAGCTCAGGAGCAGGAGCGCAGGGTGCCATATCAGTTACTAACCCTATTCTCACTTGCTCCACAACCAAATTCAAGCACCCTCTTCCATCGCTGGAGGGAGCGCCACTTGGTAACACCCCTGTGTGTGGGGGAGGAGGGTGCCTTTGCAACACCTCTCAACATTGCAGACTGGCCCAGCAATTTGCACAGATCCTGCTGAATGGCCTAATGATAAGAATGGGTTAATCTTCCTGGGAGAGATGATTTCCTCCCCTAGGAAGTGAGGCTCCGACTGCCTTCTGTTGTCTCCCCCTTCTCATCCCAACCCCATCCTGCATTCATGGGAGAATACCACACACCAGCCATATCCCTCACTGAGCAAAAACTGCAGGAGGCCTGAGGAATTTGTGGGGCTTTGCTCCACTCGAATGGAAATCCAAAGCGTCCTTTGTTCAAGGGGGGAGAAAAGCCAGTCCCTGGCTGCCTAGATACCAGAACCACCCTAGAACTGTCTGGTCCAAGTGTTACGGTATAAAAAAGCCGAGGGGTAGTAGTTCTTTATGGGGCCAGCCTTTGCCCTGATCTTAACAGGCAGGGCTCCTTCTGCCGAGGCACAGACACGCAAAGCTTTCTGAGGGCTTGGCAGTGGCTTCTGAGCCCACACTACTTCACCTTCACTAAGGAAGTGGCCAAGAAGCATCTCCAGTTGCTGAAAGGAGTCTGCCTAGGCCAGACAGGCTGCTCTGGTGCTTGACCTCACGTTCCCTGTTCCATGTGCTCTCCTCTATCCGGGATACCCCGGCCTTGCTGCAGGAACCTTGTCCACTGCTTAATTACTAATATTCGCTTAAAGTACAGTTCTCAATCCCTCTTCCATCTCCCTACCTTTTCACATACTTTCTTTCTTGAAGTATGGCTGAATTATAATGTGTTAATTTCTGCTGTACGGCACAGTGATTCAGTTATGTACATGTATACATTCTTTTCCATTGTGGTTTATCACAGGATATTGAATGTAGTTCTTGGTGCTCTGTAGCAGGACCTTGTTGTTCTCTATTCTACATATACCAGTTTGCATCTGCGAATCCCAGACTCCCAATCCAATCCTCTCCCAGCTCCCTCTTCCTTGGCAACCACCAGTATGTTCTCTATGTTCTTGATACTGTTTCACAGACAGGTTCATTTGTGTTATCTTTTAGATCCCACACGTAAGTGATATCATATGGTATTTGTCTCTCTCTTTCTGATTTACTTCACTTAACATGAAAATCTTTAGCTGCATCCATTCATATAATTTCCTTTTTTTCTGATAAATAGGAGGTTTTAATGTATAAAAAGTGAATTAAGCAGCTCCTGGAACACATATAATTTCTTGATTCTGCTTTTCTCTGTGTTCATAATTATCTTTCTCCAGGTGTCAACTGCCATTCTCTGCTTCTCCCTGCATATTCCCTTGGTTCAAGACACTGCCCTAATCCAAGACTGAAATTGAGAAAACAGTTCCATTTACAAGAGCATCAAAAAGAAAAAAATACTTAAGAATAAATTTAACCAAGGACATCTAGCACATGTACACTGAAAAAAACAGAACACTGAAATTAAAGAAGATCCAATTAAATGGAAAGACATTCTGTGTTCATGAATTGGAATATTTAATATTGTTAAGGTGGTAAAACTGCCCAGATGAATATGCAGATTCAATGCAATCCCTATCAAATCCTCTTTGCAGAAATGGAAAAGTTCAGCCTAAAATTCAAAATGAAAATGCTAGAGGCCCTGAATAGCCAAAACTACTTCTTTGTTTGTTCTTTAAAAAGAGGAACAAAGTTGTTAGATTCGCACTTCCTGATTTCAAAACTCACTACAAATTTACAGTATCCAAAATAATGTGGTACTGACAAAAAGGCAGACCTATAGATCGATGGGAGAAAATTGAAAGTCCAGAAATAAACCTATGCATCTGTGGTCTGCTGATTTCTCACAGGGTTTCTATGACCATTGAATGGAAGAAAGAATAGACTTTTCAACAAATGGGACCAGAACAACTGGATATCCACATGCAAAAGAATGAATCCAGATGTCTATCTCACACCATATACAGAAATTAACTTAAAATGTATCAATGACCTAAATATAAATCTCTCAGAAGGGAAAATAGGTATAAATTTTCATGACATTAGATTCGGCAATGGTTTCTTAAATATGACACCAAAAGCAAAAACAACAAAATAAAAATAAAGTGCACTTTATAAAAATTAAAAACTTTCATGCATCAAAGGACATTATCAAGAAAGTGAAAAGACAATCCACAGAATGGGAGAGATACTTGAAAATCACATATCTGGTAAGGATCTAGTATCTAGAATGTAAAAAGAATTCCTATAATTGGATACAAAAAGATAAGCAACACAATTTAAAAAAAGGGCACAGGAATTTGAATAAGCATTTCTCCTAAGAGGATATGTATATGACCAATAAACATGTGAAAAGATTCTCAACATCAGTAGTCATTAGGGAAATGCAAATCAAAACCACAGTGAGCTATCACTTCATATCCACTGGCTTGGCAATAATAATTACAAAAACAGTAACAACAGTCAAGTAAGTGTTGGTGAGGACATTGAGAAATTGGAACTGTCACACACGGTGGGGATGTAAAATGGTGCTGTGTGTGTGTGTTGAGTCACTCAGTCATGTCCGACTCTGCGACCCCATGGACTTGTAGCCCACTGGACTCCTCTGTCCATGGGATTCTCCAGGCAAGAATACTGGAGTGGGTTGCCATTCCCTTCTCCAGGGGAATCTTCCCAACCCAGGGACTGAACCCGGGTCTCCTGCATTGCAGGCGAATTCCTTACTGTCTGAGCCGCCAGGGAAACCCCAAATGGTGCTGCCGTTGTGGAAATTATTTTGGTAGCACCTTAAGAAGTTAAACACAGAGCTACCACATGGCCCAGCAACTCCACTGCTAAGTATATGTTCACGGTAAAACGTGAATACAAATATTCACAGCAGCATTATTCACAAAGTCAAAATTAAAAATAGCCCAAACATCCATGGCTGGATGAATGGAATAAACCCAATGTCATATATCTACAAAATGGAATACTAACAGCCATCAATAGGTATGGAATACTGATATATGTTGCAACATGGATGAGTCTGGAAAACATTATGCCAAGTGAAAGAAGCCAGATACAAAAGACCATGTTTTGTATAATCCTATTTATGTGAAATCTCTAGAACAAGTCTATACAAATGTCTATACAGACAGAAAGTAAATCAATGATTACCTAGCACTGTGGGAGGGGAGAACTGGGAGTGACAGCTCATGGGTGTGGAGTTCTTTTTGGCTGATGGGAATGATTTGGAATTATACAGTGGTGATGACTGCACAACATGAATGTACTAAAACCTCTCAAGTTGCATACTTTAAAATGGCTGAAAGAGGCACAAACTTCCAGTTAAAAAATGAATGAGTCACACGTATGAAATGTACAGTGTGAGGGATATAGTCAATAGTTATGTAATATCTTTGTATGGAGACAGATGGTAACTAGACTTGCCGTGGTGATTTTGTAGAGAAATACTGAATCGCTATGTTGTGTAATAGGAACTAACACAGTGTTGTAGGTTAATTATACTTCAAAAACAAACTCAAAGAAAAAAAAGACCAGATTGGTGGTTACCAGAAGCAGGGATGGAGGTAGTCAAAAGGTAAAAATTCCACTTGTAAGACAAACAAGTACTAGGGCTGTAAGGTACAACATGATTAATATAGTTAACACTGTTGTATGTCCCATATGAAAGCTGCTATTAAAGAGTAAATCCTGAGTTCTCATCATAAGGGGAAATTCTTTTCCTACTTCTTTTTTAATTTATATGCAGTGATGAATGCTCACTAAATTTGTTGTGGGAATCATTCCATGATGTATATAAGTCAAATCATTATGCTGTACACCTTAATCTTCTGTCAATCATATCTCAGTGAAACTGGAAAGAAAAAAATAAAATGGTTAAAATAAAAATTAATTTTATGTTATGTGGATTTTATAAAAAAAAAAAAAAAGGACCATCTCAGAAGGATTTGCATCTCTCTAGCCAATTTCAGTTCAGAGAATCTGATTGGTCCAGCTTGGATTAGGTGACCAGGCTAGGATAAAAGGTAAATGGGACTGGGGGATGTACCCTTTTGGGAAGGGACACAGAATTCAGAGAAGGGTCTGGGCTGGGCAGCTGTCTCCAAGGATATCTGTTGTTGTTAGTCACTAAGTCATGTCCAACTCTGTGATCCCATGGACCGTAGCCCACCAGGCTCCTCTGTCCATGGGATTTCCCAGCAAGAATACTGGAGTGGGCTGCCATTGCCTTCTCTAGGGGACATTGCCCACCAGGGTCGAATCTGCATCTCCCGCACTGGCAGGCTGATTCTTTACCACTG